AAGAAAATTACATTTTATACTTACATTTGACTTCTAGTCTCACAGAGGTAATTTTCGGATGTCCGGCTATCTTAAGAGACAAAGAATTTTCCGCCTGGCAAATGATTTTTCTTTTATGATCCATATGAGTCACCGGATCAAATACTAATGTGTCCCCTTTGTGTATAAGGTAACCAGATTCTGATAGCCATTTGTATTGTGTATCTGGTGGATTACCTGGCTCTGCTTTACAGGTAAGCATTTGTTGATCCCCCGCAATCCAGGGTAGGTTACTTTGTGATGTTATTGTTGGATTCCCAGGCGTATCTGGAAAAAGAAAAGGATAAAGCATAAGTTATTAAATTTTCATATTAGATTTATTTTCTATTTGAAATGCTGAAATATTTTGTTTCTTTCATTTTATTCTCTTATGCAGTGAATCAAAGTCGAGAATTTGAGATCTCTGATGATCGTTTATGCTTTCTTATCCCAGATAAAAAAAGACAAGCCTTGCACAAGGAGACAATTCGTAGCTACCTTCCTCTCCCTCACATTCCCTCCAAGGAACAATACTACTATGCTCCCTACCCTGAAAAAAAAGCAAGTAAAAAGAAACTTCTTGCTGATTGAATCCATTGATGCAGTGTTGGGAACCCTACTGAGGAATTGCCAGAGACAACATGCAATGCAACAGTTTTCAAATGCAGAAGTTTTTTTTCAGTGCTTATTGAAGCTCTTATAGATTCACTGAAAGAAAAATGTTATTAAAAAAATATGTTTGCAAAATTGTTTAATAATTCCTGCTAAAAGAAAGGGATGGTCATTTATGCTCATAGCTTTAATTTATTCATAATCTGTTCTCTGTCAAGTAGGTGACATCTTGATAAGATCAGCTTAGAAAGATGATCTAAGTATGAGGCACTGTTAAAAAGTGCCTGAAAACCATACCATGGGTTGAACCAAGCCTTGTGAGTCTAATTAGATGAACCTATTCAGAAGTTGTCAATGATTGTATTAGCTCAAAATCATAAGTCATTGTGATGAAGTGTTCAGGCATACTGACCTTGTTCAACTAATGATCATGCCAGGTTATGCACTGTCTCCTTGAAAGTGCAGCTAAGATACTCTTGGTATAGTTGCAATATAAACCACAATTTTGCATGGTGCCTTTTAAAGAAACATAAAAATATGCCTGAACAGGCATCTGCAAAAGGGATTAACCAGTATTGATTTATTTAAACTAGCTCACTTTATATGATCATACCAAGCTGCATGTAATTCATTCTTCTCAAATTGTACAGTTAGTTTACTGTATCATGCCAGACAATTTTTCTTGCCTAAATCTATTTTGCATGTTTATAAATCTACCATTCATCCAAGCATTGAATATTGCTGTCAAATCTGGTCTGTCACTCTTGCTAGATTCTTGACTCTTGCTATATATCTTGAGATTCTTGACAAAATTCAAAGAAAAATCTACAATGTTATCAGTCCTGACCAAGCATCTTGGCTTCAGTCAGTTTCCCATCACTATAACATAACTATCCTTTGCCTTTTCTATAGATATTGTCATGGCTATTGTTCTGATGAGCTTTCCTCTTTTGTACCTTGATTTCATGAATTTAAGCATAGAAATAGATTGGCAGCTAGCTCTCATCATTTTACAGCTGAAATAACTAGAAGTTCTATTCTAATAGTTTCTTCTTGACTGTGGAAGTCCATGCCAGCTTCCTTCTTTCCTGCTTTTTATTGTCCTTTTTCCGCACTAATGTTTCCTCATTTTCTTTCATTCTCAGTAACTCCATTCATCTCAGTGACATTATTGTCTTGATTGGGGTGAAATGGATAAAAAAAAAACCCGAGTGAAACAATAGGTACAGAGTGTTATTTAGCATCTATACATTCTAATCCACTGTAACAAGTAGTAACTCTGTTCAGAACAACACAAAAATAAAATAGACAGTCTTAAACAGTCAAAATATGAAGAGAAACTAACAACACCTAAAACAAAATCCTCTTCAAAGTGGCTGGAACATTTGGGACAATGGACATTATGGAAAATTTTTGTACTACCTTATTTGCAACAAATGGTAAAACATAAGAATGCTCGATAAACTAGATAAAAAATTAATTAGATTTTCCTTGTTTGCCATATTTAATGAAAAATATTTAAAAGAACAGTTGCTGCCCAAATCTATCTATCTATCTATCTATCTATCTATCTATCTATCTATCTATCTATCTAAATATATTACAGGTACCATATACATAAGATGGGACAAGATAGGACATCTAATGTAGACCTGTTTAACAGGTGTAATATTGGAGTAATCAAGACTTTTCTCACACAGTCTCAGTTACAATGGACTGGTCATGTCTTGAGAATGTCTGATGACAGGATACCCAAGATCCTAATGTACAGCCAGTTAGATCAGGGCTACAGTAATGTAGAACACCCATGGCTAAAATACAAAGACAAGCTGAAAAGCAACTTGTCAGCTGTCAATATACCACATAACACCCTTGAGCGCTTAGCCTTGGAGCTGGGAGAAAGGAGGTCAATGTGTTTTAGTGGACTCAACAGTTTTCCCTCTGCTTCATCAAGAAGCGAGAGAAAGATCTAAAAGGTCAGCCAATCTAACAGTGATCTCATCTCACAATCCTTACTCTTGCTCCATATGTGGCCTCCTTTGTAAATCACTAAAATGGCACTTAAATTATCGCACAAAATTTCATAACTGAATCAACTAAGCTGTCAGATCCTTATACGTCAAAACCAATGGGAGGGTTCATCATATATATATATATATATATATATATATATATATATATATATATTATGTATATATGTTATTTTTATAGATACAAATATTTAAGATTTAAGTAAATTCCCCATTTGATTTTATTCACCAGACGCTTCCTCTGTAGCTAAATAGTATAGCATGTCGGGCTATATGACAGTTCCTTGTAGGATACAGGCTTGATTCCTGTCAAAGGACATATTTCTATAAAATTTCTCAGACATTGAGGCCGGTAAATGTAGTTAATACTGTTTATGATAAAAAGAGCATTTACTTAAGTATTCATGTATAAAAATAATGTATAAGCAGAAAATATAATAAAATAATTGTTGGACTTAGTCCATTTCATAATATATATATATATATATATATATATATATATATATATATGTGTGTGTGTGTGTGTGTGTGTGTGTGTGTGTATAAAGTGGGTATCTATATATTTTTACTGTATGATTATTTCAAGTTACATGTATAAAAATTAGAAGCTAAAAAAAAAACAGAAATGCTGAAGATTTTGGCTCGGAGGGGATATTTTTTAAAGTTTTGTCAGGATGGAATCAAATTGTCATATTTTGACGTGATGTCTCTTCTTACTGCAAATTGTTTGCCGGCTAAAAGCTTGGCTTTTCAGCCTTCACTTCAGCTTCCAAGGAATTTAAAAATTTTTTCAAAATCCATTTCAGGAATGACAAAGGCAAGAGAAAGGATCACATGCAAAAAAATCATATCAAGATACATCACTTCTTATTCATATACACACGCAGATATTAATGAAAGTGTATATAGAAAATAATATATGTATGTCAGCATAATATTATTGGATATAAAAATGAGACATGTAATGATACTGATATAATAAAAGGGTAGAATATCTATTTGTAAGTTTTCTTTATGGTTAACTGTATTTATAACTATATATATATATATATATATAAGAAGATAGATATTTTGAAGTGTGACGGAGGGTAATAGTGGGGCATCAATAAAGAATTTGACAGGAAGTTAAAGGTGGTGTGGTGAGTAAATGGTGGCCTTTTGGATAAAAGCAGTGAGCTGATGATGACCTGTAAGCACTGAAAGAAATATATTATTAAAAAAAAAAAAAAATTTATTCATGGTAGCTGTGTGCAAGAATTCCATGTACAGATTAGAAAAATGGAATAGTCCATAGGGTTCCTGGTAATATACTCTTAACAATTGCTAACCACATGACATGAGTTGTGGAATTGGTATGTAGAAACACTAGCCATTTAAGTATATGCTAATATATATGTGTGTGTGTGTGTGTGTATGAGAATGTGTGTGTGTGTGTGTGCAACATTGTATTATGAAATAATGGAGTCATATTTGTATGTCTGTAGACACAATTACATATGCATTCATATATGTACACACACGATCACATATACACATATGCATATATTTGTGCATGTATATGTATTGTATATTTGGGAAGCAATTCTTCTTTTATACATGTTTCATTGAATATAAAAGATCAGGAAAATTTTGTATGTATTTTATTCAGTATCTGTCTATATTTCATGTCTGAGATGAGGTATTATGTACACTATTTACATTATTTGAACTATTGTCCTAATCTTTGTCGCCATGTTTATTACAATGTTTTGGCTATTGTATGCTCCGGCCTTCTTCAGGTGGTTGGAATGTCAAACTGAACACTTTATTTCGCACACTGGGGTAGAGTGTTCTAGTTTCTCAAGGACACATGGCACAGTGGATAAAGGTGTTGGTTAGATCCAGTGACAGGACCCAAAGAGTGCGAGTTCAATACCCAGTTAAGGAAGTGGAGAACTTGGAGAGGGGAAATAACAGGAGATAACTGATAACTGACATCTATTAAACATGGCATGTGTAACTAGAACAGTCTACCCCTGTAAGCGAAATGCCAACCACCAGAAGAAGGCCAGAGTACAACAGCTGAAATTTAATAAATATGGCAACAAAGATGAGGACAATAGTCTGAATAATGTAAATAATGTACATAATACCTCATCTCAGAAATATAGACAGATGTTGAAAGGCTGAAAGGTTGTGATAAATATGGCAACAAAGATGAGGACAATAGTCTGAATAATGTAAATAATGTACATAATACCTCATCTCAGAAATATAGACAGATGCTGAAAGGCTGAAAGGTTGTGATAAATATGGCAACAAAGATGAGGACAATAGTTTCTCTAGTGTTCTTTATTTTTTATGAGGACTAAACTGTTCATTAAAAATACATTTTTAAAAAATTTCAAAACACAAATTTTCCAAAATTTTCTATATGCATAACATTCAATAAAATATTATGTGTGTGTGTGTGTATATATATATATATATATATATATATATATATATATATATATATATGTAGAAATTTCAGGTAGAGTATATCTGTAAAAGGACAATATAAATAAAGACAAGATGGAAAACTTAGCTGATGTGTTTTGTTCTCTGAAGCTCTTTATTGTGGCAAGTGCAAAGATTTTATTTTGCAACAAGTATTTATATACAAGAGCAAAAATGTTACTGGTTTTTCAAAATCTTCAAGTTTGGAATGGTCATAAATATTCATCAGGTTAAATGAAAAGTCAGGCAAACTGTTGTGATGAAATAACCTGACTTCCCCATTCACCATAAATGGACGTTCCGGTGGCCGATAAAGTTTGACCACAGTAAACAGTCGAGAGAGCGACAACAGAGCGACAAAAGAGAGCGACAACAAAGGTCTTCATTGACTACACCATTCGGTTAGCTTACTCCTACTCTGTCTCTGTATTTTGACATTCCTACATTCCGATATAAAGTATTATTATTTAAACCACCACTCGGGTTTACTTTGTTATTATATCTTTTTGCGAGATATAACGACTGGCGACGAGATATAACACAAACTATGGAAGACACAAAGTTACATAATTCAATGTCTAATATGCAAAAGTGAGTATGTGATATCCATGAATTTCTTTTATGCAAATTAATATTTTAACTAATTTAATTTAGGATTAATTTATGTGTTGGATATTTTGAATAACATGAACAGACATGATCTGAGAAAAATCTGTATGAGAGTGAGTGTATTCTTTAAAACAGAAAATATAACCTTGCTGGGCTGTGATGCATGTAGAATGGTTGAGGTGAAGATGTAGATCTAAATTACATCTCATACCATCTACTCATGATCCACAGACAGTATTGAGATATAAAGCTGCATTGCATATCAACTTCACTGATATTTGATTAAGTGAATATAACAGAGCTCACAACTTTGAATTTAGCAGAAACCTGATTCAAAGTTAGCATTTAGACTCAAGAAAACAATTTATGTACATAAGTTGGTCTTTTATTTCATAAACAGAACCTATTTTGGAGTGACCATTGACTTGAGAATCGTTTTTTTCTTTAGATTGCTTTATGCATTTTCCTTCTTGGTTGCATTTTCCTTCTCAGTTGTATTTTCCTTCTCAGTTGTATTTTTGAATATTCTATTTCAGCTTGTCCTTCTTTTTCCTTTTTTTCTCTTTCTTTATTAATGCTTTTCATTTGTTTTTTTTTTCACTGTTGAATTCTTTCTCCACATTGTTTTACATTTTCTCAATTGTTTTATGCCTGTTATTTGTCTTTTCTTTTTCTCAAGTCTCCTTTAATTCTTCTCTTTTTTCTTATTTTATAATTTTCTTTTATCTACTTTCATTTTTATCAGTTTCTCTTTTTTTTTCCTTCTCTATTTGCCTTTTATCTTATCGCTATTTCAAATCCATTTTCTTCTCACTTTCTGTTTATTCCTAGTTTCATTCTTTGTTTTTTTTATTCTTTTTTGTTTTTTTTCTTTGCACTTTTCTTGCCTTTTTTTGTTCTCTTTTTATTTTTCTTCTTTTGATATTCCTTTTCCTACTTGATCTTTTCACTCTTTTTTTCTCATTTCAATTTATCCCATTTTCTATTTTTTATTTATTTTTCTTTCTCTTCTTTTTCCTTTTGTTCCTTCCTCCTGTCTTCTTTCTGAGTTTTTCATTTTGTTTTCCTTTTTTATTAATTATTTCTCATATTTTTTCTGTCTCTTTTCATTCATCCTTTCATTCTTCCTTTTTTTTCATTTTTTCTTTCATTTCTTTTTTGTTCTCATTTCATTCCTATTTCCATTTTTTCTTTTTTTCCCTTCTATGTTTTCCTTTTCCTTTTCTCTATTTTCTATCACTTTTTCTTCATTTTTCTTTCTTTTTCTTTACTTCTCTTTCTTTTATTTATTATTTAAAATTATTTTATTTTCTTTCTTCTTTTCCTATTACTTCCTTTCTTTTATTACATCTCCTTTATTCCTTTGTGTATATTCCCTATTAAACCTTTTTTTCTTTTCATCTTTCTATCTTTCCTTCTTTTTCCCTCTTTCTTTGCGTTTTTCTCTCAATTTTTCTTCCTTTCTTTCTTTCCTTCTCTGTAATTAACTCTCTTTCTTACACTATATATCTCTCTGATTTTTTATCTGTTCCTAGTTTTATATTTTGTTCTCAATAGTGCATGAAAACAATTTAACCATTTTTTTGTCTTTCTTCCTCTCTGTTTTCCACCTTTTTCTGATTTTTCATTCTCTCTCTTTATATATATATATATATATATATATATATATATATATATATTCTCACTCATTCCTTTTCTATCTCTTTTCTGAACTGCAAAGACTTGACAATGCAAAACAGACAGGTCAGAGAATATGACATGCATCATTATTCATTGACAGATATGCAGCATTTAAAAGTGAATGCTGAAATAGCTGCAAGACATCTTTGTGCATATGAAACATGCAGCATGATGAAATGTGCACTAATCCAAACTTTCTGGGTTCACATCCATAAAATTTCTTATTTTTTAGTATCATTTTGATTTTGTCTTCATGATCTTCAGGTCTTCTTGATATTGTGGAATGGTGCTATGGAAACCAAGAAACAATACCTACAATATCTCCAACAGGTACAAGTCCTACTATTTAACACATAGTTAAATGAAAGAATAAGTTGAAAATTTCTTTAATGATCAAGCTGAAATTAGAGTACTGCTGCCATATATGGGCAGGAGGTGCCCAGTCTTCACTTCCCAGTGTCACTAGAATCCAAAAGCATCTCTGTGTCCTTGTGGGTGATGAATTATTTTCCACACAGCAATCTCTTTCTCACAGACAAAACTTTGCAAATCTGTTATTGCTTTATCACTAATATCGATGGAAAGTGTTTAGATGAACTACATTCTTTAGTTCCGCCAGTTTTAACTGTCAAGGCTAAGACCTGACATGTTATGCACATTGTAGTAAACCACCATCATTCCTTTTATATTTGATCGGTGAGATGTAAGTTCCACTTAAGCAGCTTCTTCTAATGGACTGCTTCCTTGTGACACCAATTTGCAAGAGGATGCTTCTCTGATCACTACAAGGGTTAACCCTTATCTTCCCCACATATCCCCATAAACTGTATCTCTTACTCTTTAACACTCTACATCGAGTGGCTCTTGGGCCCTGTAGATTTTGTGTTTGTGATTTACCCTGCAACTTACAAGGCAAAGGTTACTTTTTATATTACTGAATTTTATGTTTATTATTTTTTTAAAAATTTGCATGTAAAAATTGAGATGTGTCCTTGAGCCTGGAACATATTCAATGCCAGGAAATATAAATAAATTCACATATATTTGTGTGTCTATATATGTGAATGTCTAGATCTTTCTGTATACATCTGTATCTGTAGATAAATAAAATGTTTTAATGAATGTTTATACATTTGTATGATTTCATATGTATCTGTGGATATGTGAGTATGACATTAATAATCTCTCAGACAGAATATTATATAAAATCCTGCATAAATACACTGTTTAAAAAAAAGCCAGGCCATGTAATTTCATTATAAGACTGTGTATGTGCCATGCCAAAAACAAGGCAATAAAAACAATTGGCAACACTCCCAAATAATCTGACTGTCTCTATGACTCTGTCCTAGTTTGTGACTCATAATGAAATCCATCATATCTCCATGATTAAAAAAAAAAAGAAAAATGTTAAAACTTTTTAGCCTTGCTCTCTCCTTTCCATCATTTTTCTGTAGAATCAAACTGAATGCAAAACAAGTTTTGGTAGAAAAATTGTAGTCACCATGTATGATATAAAATATATCAAGAGCTTTTATTCATGATTTCATTGAAAAACCATTTTTTTTTATTTGTAAAAGCCTTCTCTAAAATGTTTCTCAAAATGTCAACATGGTCATCTTTATTTCTTGGATAACATTTTTATTCAGTTAGTTTGCTTCATCAATTGGAATAAATTCTTTTATTTGTAAAAGCAAATCTGTCATTTGGTTTGGTCATATTCCTTCCCTTGACTGGAAATTTATGAATGACTCAGAAATGGTATAAGCCTGGGAAGGTAGTTCACTTGTTTAGAATTTAGTTTGAGGTCATAAAGTATCAACTTCAATCTCTAATTAGACATTGGTGCCATAAAGGCTCAAAACATAGAGACATTGGATCAAAATGAATCGCAACGAGTTTAAACTATGATCATTTAACTAATGTTTTGTATGGCTCAGTGAATATGGTATTTTAGTGATTAATGTACTTTGGATTAATATACTTTGGGAGCAGTTTTTTTGAATAATTAACTCAACAAAATTTTTTTTCTCATACAGGATTATTAGTGGAGAGAAATCTTTAATAAAGACTGTAAGTAAAAAGTAGATCATTGTATATTAACATCTTTGATTAAGTCTGGAAGCCAATAATTTATTCTAAACTACATCCAGAACTTAAAAATTATGATATATTCTGTTCTCTTTATTCGTTCTTTTCTTCCATAGTTTTAATATGTCAACAAATATTTTCCTTTCAAATAAAATTTAAAAAAATAGTAGATTCTCAATAACTTTTACACACAGTGATAAGTGATTTTACTATTCTGCATATTTGTAAAATTATTAACTAAAACTCTTTGATAATAGCTTACAAAAGTTGAAAGTACTCAAAGATTGCATAACATATATTCAGATTTTCACCAGAAATAAAGAAAATGGTCCAAAATACTGTAAACAACCTTAACAAAGAACTTTTACTAGTCTTTAACCAAACTTGTATGGCAGTGAATGCTGGACCATCTCTTCAAAGATGAAGAAGAAACTCTAAGCAACAGAAATATGGTTCTACAAAAAGATGCTAAGGATACCATGGAGAAATAAGAAAAAGACTAAACTTATTAAGCTACAAGGGACAGGAGAAGGTGGAGGGCCATGATCGCCTACATCCTGAATGGGCATGGCACATAAAAGAAGTAGAACCAAACTTGTACAGAAAAAGATAGTTGATGAGATACACTCAATATATATATATATATATATATATATATATATATATATATTATGAAGTGTATATGAGCAAAATTTCTAGACCAAGCCAGTAAGGAGAAGGAACAGCAACAACTGCATTGCTTAAAAGAAATTTCCTTACTCATTCACCTGTCTTTATCACCAAGCTACATGACACTTACACTCTTCCTTATCAAGCTATCTAATACTGACACTTTCCTCCTCACTTTCTCACTTGCCTCTTTTTTCTCACACATACATGCAAAGAAATCATACACAACTACAAACAAGAACTTTAAGCACTTTGACACTCATACACACTAAGAAAAACTTAGTTGTAAAAAATACAAAAATAAAAATATTTTATATTTTTACATTTAAACACCTTTCTTGCCTTTTTCTTTGTTGTGGATTGATTTAAAATCCACAACATATATCTATCTATACATACTATTGAAATTATTACGAGTCTTTCGGAGTAACCACACCTTTTAAATGGCCCCTTGGCATTGTTACAATGATCCCTGTGACTGGCTGGAAAGGAACCAATCAGAAGGTCCCTTACTGAAGCTGCTTTGTTCAGATCTGCATACCATGTTTGAATCTTTCTTTCTTTTTCCCACATTAGCTTTCAATGAGTAGCACATAAAAAATCACTGCTCTCGAAAAATCTTCACCAACAGATCTGTGGAATCCAGGATTGTAGAGCACACTCCATGTGAAGAAATATTTTCTCAGTCCTCAGTAAGTGTAGACACTGGGACATTGCTGCACCACCACCACAGCAACAAGAAATCATAAGACCTCAAAGAACTGAAGAGGTATAGCATATAGCAGAAGAGTTGTATGCCTGTAAGAGTACAGACATGTTAACAACCAAGGAGGATATATACAGAATTAATATAGGATCAGAATACTGTTGATATATTCCTTGTTTTGGAGTGTGTGCATATACTGTGATCATTTACTCACTTCAGGATATGGGCAATCATCACAATCAATATACATTTCTAACATGGTCAAATACACTCTGGAAAATATTACTCCCCAAGTTAATGTCAAACACATACACTTGTATGAAAGAAGAACTTGTTCTCATCAATTAACAATACAAAATTCGATTCAATTTTCTAGCTGAATGTTTTGTGACATGATAAGAGACATGCACAATAGTATCGTGCTGAAAATGGAGGACTGGCTAGTGGGCTATTTTAACATAGTCTAGTTATAAGTAAAGGATTCTTAGTATTCCATGTTGACTGTCTGGTAAAAACAACTTTGTGATTTGGATGCTGTGCTGTTTGCCACTGCTGATTTTATAATGCATTGATCTTGCTGAGCACTCTATAAACTATGGTCATCCAGAACCTGGTCTACAGATGTTGGAATTATAATTTTTTTTGTCTTTGTTACCAAAATAAAGCATCAGCAATGAATCACATGCAAATATGTGTAATAATTCTCAGAAATTACCTTATTGTCTCTTGAACGCTATGATTTGAAAATTACAAACTGAACAAAAGGCTGTATGTTCATTGTCATTGCATGACATCTGTTTGGGTTCTTTACTGCACTATACTTTATTAAAACGTGTCACTGTTTAAAGCTCAGATCCAAATGGTGGTTCCTCACCCATTCAAAAATATCTAAGCTTTCAACTGTATACAACTACTTCCTAAGATCAATGGGGAAAAAGCTTTGAATGAGTGAAACCTCAGGGTCTTAGCAAAGATCATCCTTATTTGAACTTTGTGGACTGACACTACACAATCACAAAGAAAGAACTTTACCAAATAAGAAAAACCACATCACTTGAAGTCTACCAACAGCAACAAGGAATAGAATGGAAATCACATGTTACTCAAAGAGAAAATAATGACATAAGATGCTCACATTTTATACTACTTCAAATAAAAGGTTAAAGAAGGAAACCCCCTGTTAGTACTTGAAAGAGAGATAAAACCAACTAGACTTAAGAAGTTTATTTCCTGAAAGATTATTTTAAGGGAAAGGTTTTATAAATTCCAACTGAAAGCAGTACTACCTTTTAAGTTAATAAATGCCAAATGTTTTCTTATCAGGAATTGGCTAATATTACC